TCTGAGAAATTTTGCCTACATTATGTATCAGATATTCAGCACAAATAAAGCAAGTTTTGTGTGGACTTTGAAAATGACAAATGTAAAATTAGGTTGCTTGACAAGGTGGCACAATAATGTACCTATTAATGGCATTTTTTTAGTACCAACAATTTATTTAATGTACATACTTTGCTTGCTTAGATGCACCTTTCCTTCATTCTGTAGGAGAACTAAAGCAAGCTTATTTTTTAAAAGCCAGCAGTTACTTAGGTAGACAGGTAGTTTCTCAGAATCTGTTTTATCTACTAGAGTGTGTTTCAAAGAACACGAACATTCACCCTCTAAAAGTGTTAGATCCTATCATAAATGCATTCTTGCGTAAATAACATATCCAAGCTTCTTGCCTCTCAGCACAGCTTTCTTGTGATTTCCAACCTCCCAGATTGTTGTTGTTCAGTCTCTAAGTCGTGTCTGATTCTTTGCAACCCCATGGACCACAGCACGCCAGGCCCTCTTGTCCTCCACTGTTTCCCGAAGTTTGCCCAAATTTATGTTTATTGTGTTGATGACACTATCTAACCCAGAGGTCCCCAACATTTTGGGCACCAGGGACGGTTCTGTGGAGAGAGTTTTTTCCACAGACTGGAGGGGGTGTGGTTTTGTGTGCTGCCTGCATCCCACGGATAGGGCTTTGCTTGTTTATGAGGACCGGTTGCTGGCATGCCGCGGCCCGGTACCCGTCCACGGTACCTTCTCGTCATTTTCCCTCCCCTTCTTCTTTTGCCTTCCGTCTTGCCCACCATTAGGATATTTTCCAGTGAGTCCTGTCTTCTCATTAAGTGGCCAAATATTTGAGCTTGAGCTTCAGTAACTGTCCTTCCGAAGAACGATCAGGGTTGATTCCTCCCATAGAACCAAACTCTTTTCCCATTGTATTGTATGGGATCCTTTTTAATGGGATCAGATCCTTTGGCTGCACATGTTTGCCTGTGTGCTTGCTGATATTTATGTTATTTTCCACTGATAGATTTAGGAACTGCTAGTACTGCAAAGCTATTTGAAATTTCCATATACGAGTACATATCTGTTTATACTTAATTAATTATACTAAAGTTAATTTTTACATCTAAATCATTTGACGACTATTTTCATTAGGAAATTTTAGGGGGGGTCCGAGTTCTCTCTCAGCCATGGAAGTCCATCAGGTTAAGTTGGGGAACTTATAGTCTCAACTCATCTATCTCACTGGGCTATTGTGGGGAAAAGTATAGGAAGAGATGTTGTATATGGCTCTTTGAATTCTTGGGAAGGGAAGTGGGATGTCGCTTTAACACAGAGTAAGAAATTGTAGCATGGTGCTAGTGTTGCTGTGTTTATTTTTATTTTAGATTTGTTTAGCTTAGCATGATGTAGAAACCTATCTAGTGTAAATTCTGCTTTCTGCCTTGGAATGCATCTGTACAAACCCCAATGGGGGTGGGTGAGAAACTAGCCATATTATGGCTTAAGGTTATATGCAAGCTGAATATTTTATATCATAAAGAATGTCATGGTTCCGACAGATGAAACTCTTCAAAAGAACTTCGGAGGCATTGTTTACCTTAAAGAATCTTTATTTTGAGTAGCATAATATCAGCACTGCATAATCGAAGCCAAAAACGGAATTCCCCTCCCCTGAGCACATAGTATCAAAGCACAATTCCTTCCTTCAATTAACAGTCATAAATCACATTCCTCAATTAGCTTGAAGCACGGGCTTCCTCTCCAGTTCTCCAGCCCACCAATTCTTTATCAGCTCTGGTTACAATAACCTTGATTCTCACGCTAGGTTTAGTGTTGTTATGTCTAGCTGGACTCTCGTTCACATCCCCCCTCCCAGCATCATCTAATTCTAAAAGCAAAAGGTAAAAGATGGCTACATTTCCCTCTGTTGTCAATGCAAACACATCCAATGTTAGCAGCATTGACAAAGAACAGTAGCTGTAAAATAAGTAAAACAATAAAATAAGTCATTTTTGTTTCTATTAGTGGCTGCCTGACAGCTTTGTTCATTTGCAATACATGATTTGTTTTGCTGAATGAAGCTGTCACAGCAGATGTTTTTTTCCATGGAGTTACAACTAGATCCATGGGTTTTTCTATCACTGTGTCTCTAACTCCCCTGCTCTGCCTCTCAGCAGGCAAGTTTGTGCAATCCATTTGCAATCGGGGTTCTTACAATTTGTTCTGAATACTGGATAGGATTATTGCTGGGCCAGGTTGCTTCTGTCATATTGAAAGAGGCCGTTAAAAGAGACTTCCTTAAACACTTGGGCTTAATTTGATGTTTCAAACTGTTTGTGGATGGTGGAGTTTTCAGATGATCTTATCAGAGCATGTGAAGACATCCTGGTTAGTTTTCTGGGAGGGACTGTTTATTTTAGCTTGGTTTTCAATAAAAAAAGGTTTTGGAAACTTTTATTAGTGACTTCTGTTTTTAGACTGTACCTTGGTTAGATGATCAGCTTTGTCACACAACTAAGCAAAAGTGTCCAGATTTCAGTAGATGTGGTTTTATTTGCTTGATGTGATTCTAGACAGCATTATTTTGCCTTTTTATATGACTAAGTCAAATTCTTTGTCATAAGTGGATTATGCAGCTTGCTGAAAAATTACTTAAGCAATGACTTAAAATCTATTTTACATGGATAGGGTAGCAACATTTCTGACGTATTTATTATCTCTTTCCTGCCCCTAAATTTAGAGAAAAACATACATCCATTCGGTCTGGTGAGGAAAGGAACAAACAATATGCCCATTTTTATTAAAAACATCTTGAATTATAACCAGAGTTGACCTGGGTTTGTTAATCTTTTTTCTTTCTAAATATAGCATAGCACTTTAAGGAATAAGAAGTGTGTACGTATTTTCCTGCAAGGTATCTAGACTTGTTTAAAACGTTTTTTCTAAATAGGAAAAGGGGGTAGAATATTGCAATACATAAAGCTAAGTAGGATTTAGAGAGTGATGAATATCAGACCCTATGCGCTACCAGCAAAATGATAGGAAGCTGTAAAGTAAATTGTAGCAAAATGCTAGAAATTAAAATTGGTGATTTGGAAGACTAATCTGACTCCATAAACTTGAAACGGGAGTAAGCACTTTTTGGCCAATGTTCTTGCCCACACTAACTTTAGAAGGTGATAGCAAATGCTTGGCATGTCACATTTCCATCCTTCTCAGTTTGACTCATTGCAACTCATTAAAGCAAGTTTTTAAACCATCTTTGTGGAGAAAATCCTACTTATTTATGAATTGTCCATATCATAATCCCAGACTCTGTATAAGAAACTTAAAGGTTGACAGCAACTCTGTGAAAACGTTTTTGATTCAAGAACTGTCCCATAAACGTAGTGGCTTACTGTGGGATTCGCCTTGCATCTCTCCATTCCCAGTCTGATGCTCGCGTCATTTAATTAAGAAGTAAACAATATCCTTGCTTTACCATGCATTCCAAAGTTCTTCGTTATACCTATGATGGAATGGGATGAAAGCAGCCTATACAACAGGAGTGTTAAAACACGCTGTTTTACTTTACACAAGCAAATGATTCTCGGTCCTCTTCATACCACCACCCCACTTGTGTGTGTTTTTCTTCCATATCTCAAAAGCAATTTCATTCTTGATAACTTTCATTCAAATTTCAGGGAATTCCGAAATAAAAAAAAATTGCTTATTACAATAACTTTTACCTGACTGCATGTTGAAGAGATAAGATGCAGTAGAGGTATAAGGGAAATCCACTCTCAACATATAAGCTTTCTGGAAACGGTGTTGAGGTGTCCAACTTGCTTCAGCTTCTTGGAACTGTGCTTAAAAAACAAGACCATTTTCGTTCTACTTTATTCTTTTTTAATACTTCCAAGTTATTGTCATCCCTTTTCTATCAACGAGTTATATTTGTTATATTTGTATAACTGGAAACAGGCCAGTTCTTTCTCCTCTCTGCCTCATAATCTGCTCCCGAGAGTTGTAATAACTTGGAGATCTGTGCAGGATTGCATGAGAAGGAAAGAAAACATTGGTACCCCACGAATGGGTCACCATTCTCATGGCATTGGATTCTCCCAAAAGTGTCATGTTATGTTGCATGGGTCAATCTTAGTGGTGCTGCTTTGCTCTCAAAATTGATGTTTTCAACCCTTTTGGAAGTGTTTCGAGTTCCTAACAGTTTGAACTGGAAAGGCTTTGCCCACTCTTAGTCAATTTTTCATCAATACCCCCATCCTTTGCAGTGAACTCCATTAAGAAGCATAATTTAAGCCTTTCCCCTTAAGAACAGAAGTGGGGTGGAGTTAGAAAGAGGGGAAACCTAGATAAGAAGCATTTTCAGCAGTGTTTGATTTACACTTGCCTTAATAGGTAATTTGGCTTCTTACTGACCAGTGAATGATTTAAGGAGCAGTGAAAATGGGTAATATCTGATTGAGGTAGGGTATAAAAGATGCCTAAAAATCTAGTGTTGGGTTTAATGTTTTATTATTAGACCTGACCATCTTAGTATTGTGTGTTTAATATTTGATCATGGGAATACGGAGCATTATTGATTTCACTTCTTTTAAATTTCAGCAGCTTCCCAAGAGACAGAGTGAGTTAGTAAGGATGCAAACTATGTAAGTAATATATTTTACTAGCTAAAGAGTTTAGGCCAACATTTTTAAAATAACTTCTTGTTTTCTTTTTGGAGTAAGGGACAATCCAGCTGTCTGCTTTTGGTGACTTCTTTCTTTCTCTCTCTGCCTTTCACTTTCTTTCTTCCTTTCTCTCTCTCTCTCTCTCTTTTCCCATTCCCCCTCACTTTTCCTTAAGTTTCAAACTATGGGTACCACAGTAACTGTTCTTTCTCTCCTTCGTAAATGTGTATATCTTATGGGCTTGTTGGTATCTGACTGGGGTTTTTAGTTCTGCATAATATAGCAAGCTTGGGGATTAAGAAGAGAAAGTTTTGGCAACAAAAGACAAATAAATGGAACTGATATATTAAAATTATTATTAAATGTGTTGTCCTCTTGTGGCTCTTTGCTGTGAACTTTAAATGGCTGTGAAGTTTCAACTTGGCTTTAAAACCTCTTCATAAAACCCTGTTTGGTTTAAAAGAGTCTAATAAATGTGGCAGAGTTTAGAACAAAGTTAAAGAAGAATAAAAATGGCACAAGAGCTATAGAAGTCGGCCACTATCAACTAACAGGCATGTTTTCTGTCTTAGACCCTTCGCAGGTGTTACAGCCGAGTGAAGGAACATGGTGTGGGCAAAAGGAAAAGCAGTTACACATTTGAACAGTTGGAGCAGGTCTTTGGTCAAGGAGGATGGGACTCTCAACTCTGCCAACCGGTGCTCATCAATAGCAGTGGCTTATATCAAGAGCTGGAGTCTGATGGTAGCACAATGGAGGAATATTCGCAGGACGAATGGGGGAACCATAGTCAGGATCTTTTCTGTTACCAACCAGGCGAGCAAGAGTTAGGTAAGATGTGGCAAACTTTACCGAAACACCGGTGACTGCTAAGGCTTTCATGGGTGCCACTGCAACTTGCACGTTGCAACCACGGACTAGTGTTTCTGTCTTGTACATCTTTCCTGTTGCATGCCTTGAACTTGAGGTTGAGATATCTCATTTTAAGTAAGGAAATGGGGCAGTACCAACTCTTATTTTGGTAGACTATTTTGGTACATGCCATCTGCTTGTATATCTATTCATTACATTACATCTCTCGTCCAGGAGTTCTACGTGACCTATATTCTTTCCTCCAATTTTTACTCACATAGACAATTCTGTGAGATTGAACAATAGCGATTGATCCAGGTCAGCTTCCAAGGTTGAGGAAAGAGTTGAATTGGACCCAAATAGATCCTGGCCCAAAGCATTAATCAGCACGGGACTCTGTTTGTATACTGTAGTTATATATTCCCAACATCAGTAGCACAGTTCACATTTTGATGCAGTAAAAGCTCTCAAGATCATTGCTTTCGAATCAGATTTCAGAAAATGCAGTTAAATGTTGAGAGTTTTGCTTTACAGATATTCCTTACGACCACAGTTGGGTCCAGAATTTTAGTTGCTAAGCAAGAGGGTCCTTAAGCGAATCATCTGTGATTCGATCAGATTTTACAACCATTTTTATCATGGTCATTAAGCAAATTGCTGTAATCATCAAGCAAATCCAGCTGGGATGGTTGCAAATCACAATCAAATGACTGAAGATGCTACAACTGTTACAAATTTGAGCTAGTTGTCAAGCACCCAAACTGGGATCACATGACTGCAAGGGTGGTAAAAAGTAGTCATAACTTCGAGGATGGGTTGTAAGTCACTTTGTCAAGACCATCATAGCTTTGAACCATCATTAAATGAATATTCACAAGTTGAAGGCTGGCTGTATATAGTGAAACCTCATGTTAATGTACTAATTGAGGGCCGGGGATTCCATTATTGGAACTGAAAGAAAGCATGGCAATTACAGAGATTTCTCATTTGCAGGATGATGTAATTATCCATTGCAATCTGTCCTTAATATCAAAAGTCCTTTCCAGTACAACACAATAAAATATGTTTTCACTGCTTTATAGTCTTTTTATTGTTTATTGTTCCAATTAACAGCCGCCATACAAATATTCAGACATACTTTTTTTGTCTTTCATATTAATTGGTGTTAATTAATTGGTGTATGCTAGAAATTTGGCCTTTGAACTCTTGCTATCCTATAAGGGAACCTTTCAGACAGTCACTCATGCCATACATTACACCCACTCATGCCATACATTACAGTCACTCATGCCATACTTCACAAATACATTATTCCAATGTGCTTACGTGGGGCTGACCTTGAAGACCACCCAAAACCTATAGCTGCATGAAAACATAGCGGCATGAGCAGTGACAGGCACCACTCCATGTGTTCATGTGTCACCACTGCTACACCCACTTCATCGGCTGCCAGTTGGCTTCTAAGTGCAATTTAAGGTGCTGGTTATCTATCAATACACAACTTAAAACGCTCATTGTCATGATGTTTAATAGGTGAAAGAGTGCATTATAGGGCAGCAATTTTTGAGTCAAGGTACCTCAAATGGGCTAACTTACAGAATGGGTCCAAAACCCAGGACCTGTGACTCCTAAGGGAATGAAATTTAGAGAAATTGTTGCTGCTTGAGGACTACTGGTTGTGGATGGACTGCTGTGGTCATGTGATCTTCATTTTCAGTGACAGTTTCCCAGCCAGTCTTGCAATGCCTCATTCTCCCTCCCCTTCCCCGCAGCAGCAACTCACCTGCCTGCTGGGAAGGGAAGGGAGATTTTTGATACTTCCTGCCAGATTCCCATAAGGAATCTCAATGGGGAAGCTGGCAGGAAGTTAGAAGTTACTTCTCCCACTGCTTTTTTACTCAGCCTTAGTCATTACGTTTCTTTGTTTAGGTAAGGAAATATCTCTGAAACAATGACAACCAGCAGGACACGGGTTGTGTAGTTTCCCTGTACGGCATAGGGCCTGTCTATCTGATAGATCACTTTTCTCCAACCTTTTCAACCTACCCAGTATGTTCCAACAGAGTGGGTGCATTCCAGTCCCTTTGCTAAATGTTGCCATGTTGTGGGTTCCTGGAAGCCTGCTTATCCTTATCCACCTTCTCGGAACAGTATCCCCCCAGAGATAAGGATGGTGCCCTCTCTCCTAAGGGTCCAGAAAGCTTTGAAAAACTGGTTTTGGTCCTAGGTGTGGGGTTGATGTTTAATAGTTGTTCAATAGCCCGTTTTGCATTGTTTTGCCATGTATTAGATCAGCGGTCCCCAACCTTTGCACCTTGGTGGCCCAGCTGGGGGAGGGGAAGAGGGGAACCGGACCATGCAAGTGGTGGGCTGCCACACATGTGCATGCGCAGTTCGACTTGTGCGAGTGGCGGGTCAGCATGTACACGTACATGCAAGTTGAGCTGCCCACCGCTCACCTGGCCTGGTTTTGAATAGGCCACGGCCCCAGTGGTGGGCTGCAGCCCGGGGGTTGGGGACCCCCATATTAGATTATTATAGTTGTTTTATGTTTTTCCTAGTTTTATATGCCCCCCAGAGTCCACTGGAGTTGCACAGTGAAATAAAGTTTGAATTGGGCATGACTGGACAGGGGAAACCTTTACATTTTTTAAATACATAAATAATAAATAAATAAACTACAGTAGCTCTTGCATTCATACTGAAACTGGTCACCATTATAATCTGGATATAATTGCATTTTTAAAGTAGCAAGGTTCAGTTATTATGAACTATTTTAACCTCTGCCTTGCCTTTTAGATGAAATGCCTGCAGTGAAGAAATCACTGAAGATAAAACAGGAATCTTCAGAAGATTCTCAGTAAGTAATTTGAATAATGTTCTGTCTGTAAATTAAGACTCTGAAAGTATCTACCACTTTTCAAGGGTAGTATAACAGACTCAGTTTTCCCAGCTGAACCAGACTGAAATACAAACTTGGGCTGTTGGAAGTATCCTTGGAAACTTGCAGTAACTCTGCATGTATATCATGAGTGGCTGTGCAAATATTGGCTGTGTTTGTGCTGCCATGTTTATATCAGCAGTGTCCTGAATGCAGGAACTGAATGAAAGCCTAGCCCGATGTCTCATTGGATAGACAGAATAGGTCAGGGGGAGCTTCCCAGATCTGTGAGATAGATTAAGCTGAGAGTAAGTTTCTATAGGTTCCACTTTCCATAGCTGAGACTTCAACCTGAATTTTCCTGGTCTTAATTCAACTCCTTAATCACTACACTACAATGGTTCTTTTTATAAGATTGTGCTTTGTTAGTAGTTGCATTAGATACAAGCATGTAGAAATCCCTATCGCTTCTCAGGATATAAGTAGTCCTCAATTTACAACTGGTTGCTTAGTGATCATTCAAAATTTCAATGGACCCAAAAAAGGAAACTTAACAACCCAGATCTGAAGTTCCAATGGTACCTCCCCAATGGTCACATGACCGCACTTTGGGTACTCAGCAACATGGCTACATTTACAGCCGTTTGCAGCATCCCGCTATCATGTGACCATTATACAGTGGCCAAATGGTGCCCTAATGAACAACGGGGATCGCTTAGCGACGATGGCGCTTTGCTTAACAGCTGCAGTGTTTGCTTAACAACCATCGCCCAAAAAGTTGTGAAATTGGATTGACCGTTGCAACTTATGACCATAATAGGCAGGCTCCATTACGGTCATAACTCAAGGACTACCTGTATTTGCCACATAGGATTCATGATGACAGTGCCTTAAAAAAAAATCAGACCACTGGTTCAATTTGCTCAGCATCAACCATACGGACAATTAGCCTCTCTCCTGTTTTCAGGCAGCTGTCCTTCCTGTCCGAAACGAGAGAGGTCAGAAATGGAACTGGTTCCATTTTGCAGGCAAAGTACGGGCTCAACGTGAGATACCCCTTTGCTCCGTGCTACAAGGGTTGTAAGACACTATTGTCAATTTTTTTTTAGCAACTATTTGCCCTTAGCATCTGATAGGCCTGTTTACCTCCATTGGCATTTGGTGATTGCATCCTTTTCTTCTTCTGAACTTCTTAATTGCCTTGCCTTAAAACTTAGTCCTCTTGTGTTCTTTTCTTTTTTATTTAAAGGAAGTGCGACCTAATGCAGAATATTGTACAGATCTTGGAATCCGTCCAGTTAAAATGGGAACTCTTTCAGAGTTGGGCGGACTTTTCTAGGCTACACCTTTCTAACAAACTGGCTATATTTGGGATTGGCTATAATACACGGTGGAAGGAGGATATCCGTTACCACTACGCTGAGATCAGTTCCCAAGTTCCCCTTGGCAAGCGGCTCCGGGAATATTTCAACTCGGAGAAGCCCGAGGGCAGGATCATCATGACCAGAGTCCAGAAAATGAACTGGAAGAATGTTTACTACAAATTCTTAGAGATTACTATTAGCGAAGCCAGATGCCTAGAGTTACACATGGAAATTGACTGGATACCTATCGCTCACTCCAAGCCAACGGGTGGGAATATTGTCCAGTATTTATTACCTGGAGGCATTCCAAAGAGCCCTGGTCTGTATGCCATCGGCTACGAAGATTGTCACGAGAAGCCGCCATCTCCCGATCACGAGAGTGTCAGCCAAGAGCCGGAAAACGAAACTCTGGGAGAAACGGAAATGCCCTTGTCGCAAGCTTCCCTCAAAGTGGAGATGGAGCCCACCAGAATCATCTATTGTTACCTGGGCATTGCCGAGGTCAGGACACTCCAGCAGTGCTTGTTTTTACATTTTCAGGCCAACACCAAGACCTTCAGCAAAGAGTGGGTTGGCATCAATGGATTTTTGTCACAAAATTGTATCGTGGACCCGGGAATTTCTCCTAAGTCTATTTATATTAAATTTGTAGAAGTAGAGAGGGACTTCCTTTCTGCTGGCTCTTTGGTAGAGTGCCTGGAAAAAGCCATTGGATACCCCTTGAAATTTAACAACTGACTCTCCTCCTTCATAAGGATCAGGACTTTGTAAGTATCACCTGTGGCATTTTGGGCGTCCGATTAGTACAAGACTGGGCAAAATCCTCTAACCGAACTGAAATGAGGGAGACACTTATAGGGGCTTTTTACAAAAGTGTATCTCAAGCCAGTAAAATATGCTGTTTACTTCCTTGGGCCAGTCCACTGGTTTTATAAAGAAAAAAGACTTTCAAAGGGAGCATTGTAAATATGACAACTATTGGTACATTCCACGTTGGATGAACGTACATGTTGAATTTCATATGAAAAAGCTGTTTTCCACAATGTCTCATTTTTACACATGTGTCTCAAAGTGTGATTACGGTTATGTAATAAATAAGCAATAGATAATGAGTTCAAAACCCAGTCACACAAGACTGTTTTTCAGTGCCACCCGTTCGCACGCCTTGTATATAGTTTAGCATTTCAGTTTCTTTACCCATCAAGTGTTCTTACAATTTTCGACCAGTGTTGCCTGCAAAAAAAACTTTCTCTTTCTGTGATGTACCCCACTTTACTAGTAGTGTTGCCATATCACCTCTTTTTATTTTGGTTTTGGTTTTGTTTACATTAAAATCATCCATGGCCTTTTTAAGAAATATTTCGTTAACCTCTGTGTGGCAGTTAAAGTAACTCGGCCGCTGGGAAGCATTTGATCAAATCATGCTTTTATCAAATACAATCAAAGCTGTGAGAAAAGGGGTGGGCTCGGGTGGGAACTGGGGAGTTATGGACCAAGGGAGTAAGCATTTTTAATGCCTCATTAAAATGTTCCGATATAAATCCCATTGCGCTGCTGGCTAGTGCCAGGTTGTTGTTTTTTTTAATTTCGTTTTTTACAAACCTCATTGATCAGTGGAAGTTGTGACATAACAATGAATGTGTCAGTCCAAATAAAAACAAACAAATGTGGATTTTCAGAAATGTGTTTCTTGCCTGATTGTATCTTTATGAAGATGTGTACTGGCATTTTTTAAAAAATGTTTTATTTATTATACATATTTTTTAATTATTTTGAATGTCTGTATATTCATATATTAGCACTGTCTTCAGAAGGAAAAAAAAAGCCCTCAGGATGGCTTATCTTGCAAAATCCGTACAGTATTATATGAATAAATAATAGCAAATATAACATTTCCTAATAAAAATACAACGTTCTGTATACAAGATTATTTTCCATCTGCTTGCTGAAGGATCCTCATAATTTTGCAAGTTTGCGATGCTTCATTGGAGAAAGCACCTTCACGATCAATCTGTGATCTCCTTGAGCATGGTGCTATTTTAGCTCCCCCCAAACGGTCACATTTGTCCACATCATAATCCCAAATTCTGAAAAAAATGCTCCTTGTTCACCATCAATACTGTTGGACCTGACCAACTTGATTTTTTGCTTGCAGGAAAAAGGTTTAGCTTACTCTCCGAACCAGATTCCTGCTTGGTGACTGCCAATAAAGTTGAGTTATCATAAGCCAACTCTGACTCCTAATTTCAAAGTTAGAATTCCCATTTTGAAAATGACGGTAAACGTTTCCTTCAAAGCAAGGTCCTCGTTTCAGAAACCTGTCCTTGCTCTTGAAAGAATTAAGATGTAGGGAAGGGGTGGTCTAGAATTATCAGTGACCTGATAGTGGAAAGTAATGCAAGGATCCACATAAACAGGCAGACAAGGGTTTGGCAGTTTGTAGAATTCCACCATAGCAGCAGCTTGCCTGAAAATAGTTTTTTGGGGGGCGGTTGAAGAGTTGCTGTCTGAGCTTGTGTGTAATTACATCACTTTTTCGCTAACAGGATATATGATCAGTTCAATCTAGCATGCTCGGGTTTTGCAGGACTAAGTACCGGTAGGTGATACCATGAGCTCACCTGGATGGAGAGAATCACTCTTTCTGAAAATAAAAGCCCATTTTGTGATTTGTCTCTTATTTTATGTGTCTACCCAGTAAAATCCAGAAGGGGGTCAGGAATTCCTTATTATAATAAATGTGCACAAGGATAACATTCAGAATCTCATCTCTTATCTCGCCTGCCTCTTTCCAAGTGTAAGGCTTTCCAGCGAAGGTTTACCATTTGTTCTTTGACTGTACAGGTGATCCTCGACTTACAACCACATTTTACAACCTTTCCTGCCACAGTTGTTAAGTGAATCACTGCAGTTGTTCAGTTAGTAAGTAACATGTTGTCAAGTGAAACTGGCTTCCCCGATTTTCTTTGCTTGTCAGAAGATCGCCAAAGGGGGACACTGCGACCGTCATAAATATGAACCAGTTGCCAAAAGCATCTGAATTCTGATCACAATGAGCCTGGGGATGCCGTAAAGGTCGTAACTGTGAGAAACAGTCATATGTCACTTTTTCCAGTGCCGTTGTAACTTTGAACGGTCACTAAACGAACTGTCGTAAATCGAGGACTCCCTGTATTCGAACTTTGAAAACTCTTCACAGAAAGCTCTCTTCAGTTTCTGCCAGCAGGGGGCGGCGTGCAACAAAGAATGCCAGATTCTTGCAAACGCCAACTTTTTTTTAAAGGATCCAAACTATTTATTCCCTTAATATTTACTAATATTATTTCACTCTGGAAAGCAAAATGGGGTCTCTCTGCAGAGAAGGAAAAAGGCAGGACTTTCCCTAAGCTGATCCAAAGGAATATTAATGGAAGAAATGTTGGAAATAGGATGATGACACTTGCGTGTTTGCTAAATCCTATGATTTGGCAAAAGGAAAGAGACGGCGGAGCAAATCTATGCAGTTGCTAAGAGACGACAACATGATGGCACATAAACATTATTGATCGAGATTTGCAAGAGTTTGTTTATTAACCCATCCCCCAAAAAAGCCAAAAACACAAAGACCAACCATGCTGACTAGAATTAGTTGGGAGTGAATGGAATGGAGTTTTCTAGAGAAGGGCACGGTTGGTTAAACTCCGAACACCTTTCTGAGGCTCCATTGCAACATTCTTGGCAGATTTGGAAGTGATGTCTTTGTAGCACGTGTGTCAAGGTTCAGAAGCAATGTAACAGGCACCCCTGCGTACATTAAGTTGGTGTAATGTTCCCCCCCCTCCCCTATTTTGCAAAAAAAAGGATGCTGCCTCCATTGGCAGTTGTGTTTCCTGGAATTTCGGGAGACAGGAAGCTTCTGCCCCAAAGCCTGTGGCCAAGATCATCACCAGGTCTAGTAGGAAATCAGGATCTCTATGGAGATTCTCAACCATCCAAGTCATGTTTGTCCCAAAACTGGACTTTTTTGTTTTTGTTTTTTCTTTGAAACGTTTTCTTTGAAAATGTTACAAGGGGGGGGGGGTAAAAACCCCAAGAAAGTCCAGTTGCCTTTTGAACATTCTTTGAAAATGTTTCGCTTCTCATTCAAGAAGCTTCTCCAGTTCTGACTGAACGGTGGAGAATAGAAGGATTTATATTCCGTGCAGTCATCTGCTCCTTAGCACGATGAAGGTCGAGCGTAGGATAGTGGGCATCAGGAGCTATAGGATAGTGGGCATCCAAAGCTTGTGACAACATGTCCTCTCCTTGGATGTGACTAATGTCAGCAACCTCTACAAATGTTGCAAAAAATCCTATCACTTTTTCTTTTGGTGCTTTCAAGGCTGCTGTCTTCAGGTGACTGCCTGAACAGCAACTTTTTTGGTAAGGTTTTTCAGAAGTGGTTTGCCATTGCCTCCTTCCTAGGGCTGAGAAAGAGGGACTGGCTCAAGGCCAAAACTCACAGCCTTCTCCAATACACCAAACTAGCTCTGTTATCAATAACTGTAGCGTTCGGAAATTGCTTGGTACCCCTTCTCACAAATAACAGGCGAAGAGTGAACATTTCAGAATGTTTCATGCAGTTTTATTCTTTTATTTATTGTACCTGTTTTACTGTTGTTTTAATGACTGGCCCTGGACCATAATTAAACAAGTTGCTTTGTAGGTGAGATGAGCAGTCTCCAAATTTTTATATACTTGTGTGTGTGTGTGCGCGCGCGCGCGTGCGTGTGTGTGTATGTATGTATTTATATATATATATAAATTTGGAGCTGGAAGAAACATTAGAAATGCTAATCTATTTTACACACATGCACAAACAAACACATGTATATGTAGGTATAGGTGTAGGTATATGTGTATATCACTGCCCCACTATCTATCTATCTATCTATCTATCTATCTATCTATCTATCTACCTACCTACCTACCTACCTACCTACCTACCTACCTACCTACCTATCTATCTATCTATCTATCTCTATCATCTGCCTGCCTGCCTGCCTGCCTGCCTGCCTGTCTGTCTGTCTATCTTCATCCATCCCTCAAGACATGGCTCTTTCAGCAAGCGGACCTGACCTAGGGTGGATTTTATATTGGGGTTTTTTAGGAATTTGGAAGACACAACATTAAAATTTGGTTTAATTCGGTTTTAAGGGGGGGATTGTATACAAGTTTTGGTTTTAAATATGTTGTGCGCCGCCCTGAGTCCCGCTGGGAGAAGGGCGGCATATAAATTAANATAAATATGAACCAGTTGCCAAAAGCATCTGAATTCTGATCACAATGAGCCTGGGGATGCCGTAAAGGTCGTAACTGTGAGAAACAGTCATATGTCACTTTTTCCAGTGCCGTTGTAACTTTGAACGGTCACTAAACGAACTGTCGTAAATCGAGGACTCCCTGTATTCGAACTTTGAAAACTCTTCACAGAAAGCTCTGTTCAGTTTCTGCCAGCAGGGGGCGGCGTGCAATAAAGAATGCCAGATTCTTGCAAACGCCAACTTTTTTTTTTAAAGGATCCAAACTATTTATTCCCTTAATATTTACTAACAGCTGATCTGCTTCACTCTGGAAAGCAAAATGGGGTCTCTGCAGAGAAGGAAAAAGGCAGGACTTTCCCTAAGCTGATCCAAAGGAATATTAATGGAAGAAATGTTGGAAATAGGATGATGACACTTGCGTGTTTGCTAAATCCTATGATTTGGCAAAAGGAAAGAGACGGCGGAGCAAATCTATGCAGTTGCTAAGAGACGACAACATGATGGCACATAAACATTATTGATCGAGATTT